AGCTTTGGCCAGTTGGAACAGGCAGAGCTGGAAGTAGCAAAACAATATATAGGCCATTGAGCTATTCCAGTATTACAATTACTACAGCCTTAAGATTAAATAAAGACTGAGTGATGAAATACAGAGTAATCTGTAAAACATCTGGTATAATGTTCCATCCAGACTGTTCTTCCCTTATTGCTGTATTTCTTCCAGCTTTAAACAAATACAAAATAACTATTTCTGTACATCTTTAACTACAATTTTTACAGACATATTTAAGATTATCCTACCCTCATCTTTTTGGGTGAAACTTTTACATATACAAGCTTGTATGTGCAATATAGGAATTACAGGAGATTCTACATTTTCTTTATGTACAGTATTGTAAAATCAAACAGGTTGTTTAAATATCCTGAAAAAGTAAATACAGAAGCACAAAGGTTTGGGTTTAGTTGCTTTTAAAGATGTGTAGTTTGGGCTACTCATAGAATTCTTTCTCCTCCTGGCTAATGAGGTGTCAACAAGAGAGTCAGCTTCTGGTTGCTTCTGTCTTACATAAGACAGACAAGTAAGGGTGGTGTTGGCTTAAAATAGCCTTGAAACATTATTCATTTTGTCTATTTTAACACAGGCTAGAAAAACACTAATATTCAAGCCAGCAAGAAAATCTACAAAGAATTGCCATGGTGATTTCTGATATTATGTAGAATATTTGCTTTACTCTAGATTATGCTCAAATATATTAATGCTCTTCTTCTTATTTTTATCCAAACTTTGTGGTATCTGGCCCAAATCCATTCCCACTGCACCCAAGGATATCACTGCCAGTTATATCAATGGAAACAATATCTAGTCTCTTCCTTGGCAAAAGAAGAGAGTAAGTAGGCTGGAGAGCAGACTGCACATGCTGCTGGTTTGATCTGCTAAAGAGACATTCTATGGGGAGGCATTTTTATTCTAAAGTGATAGAGAACTGGTATTGGAACTTCAGCAGGCAGCCAGCTATCCCCAGCCACCCCGGGCCACAGGCCCCTGAACAAGAACGCCGGCCCCTTTCCCTGGGAAACAAAACTCACCAGGCCAGGTTCCTGATGTCACTTTGCACTTGGCACTGTCAAGCCAGCCCCAGCTGCCTGTGGTGGCACCTTGCGTCTGGGAGGCATCCTGCGACGTTCGGGATTTCAGCAGGCAGCCGGCCACTCCGGGCCAGTGGGCCCTGAACACCAACGCCAGCCCTTTTCTCTTGTAAACAAAACTCAGCAGCCCAGGTTCCTGATGTCACTTTGCAGGAGGCACTTGGCACTGTCAAGCCAGCCCCAGGTGCCGGTGGTGGCACCTTGGGTCTGGGAGGCATTCTGTGATCGAGAACTGGTTACTCACACTTCACATGCACTTGGAGATATGAGCTGTCTCTCTCAATTTCTTTGTTTAGTTCATCGTGTGAAAGTATCATTCTAATCTCTACTAAATCTTTAAAATCTTGGAAACTTGAAAGGTCCTAATATAGCTGAAGATCTTGAGTCATGAATTGAAGTACTAACTGGTTACCTGTCTTCTGCCGAGGTGAAATTAGTACCAATTGCCCCTTTTTTGCAATAGTTGTCTTGAAGAAGTAGCTGCCATAATGATGTTTTTCATTGGAGCGTTTGGGAAGGAGGAGTTTTCTGGTCAGCCTTGTCAGAATTGGACAAGTCCCTTGTGTCTCAAGGGTGGCTCAAGGTGTACTTTAGACTAATGCAATCATCAACCCAAAGATTTTTTTTTTCTTCCTTTTAAACTGATTTAAGAGTTTTCAACTCTCTGGTGCACTAAATAAAGATGTACGACTTGTAAGCACAGTCTGCACAACCGTGATTCCCAGCGAGTTGCCTGGGAATCTCTTGCCATCTGCTGGAAACGCGTGGATGTACAGCCTGAAAGGAATTTACATCAGTGCCAGGAAATAATGGGGAATATTCGGAGAACTCATAACTTTGAGTCAAAAAGACAATTCATATCAGACTCCCAGGCTGCAGCAGTTGGACTACCATCATTAGATTCTTGAATAAATCACATTTTCGCTGATACGGTTAATTTGTGGCATAATTGGATGCTGAGGTTGATTGTAGAATTTCAGAAATTAAATATCTGAAAAAAACCAAACCATTTTTTAGTTTTCTCTTTCTCAAACAGATTGCTTCAGATCACTGCTCTTAAAAGATCTGATATGAAAAAATTCTAATGGTGATTTTTAAAAGAACTAAAATTTTAGATATCTCATTTACACCTGGAATAAAAAAAAATAAAAATAAAAAAATCTGTAGGAACCTGCCAGCTCTTCAAATCTACATGTAGGTGACAGAAATATTGCAACTTTTAAGTTGAAGATGGCTTGGCAGAAGAAAAAAGTGCCTGCCACCTGGAAAAATACAGGGGAAAAAAGGAATACACTCGGGATTTACAGCTTGTGTTTCAAACCAGTTACAACCTTGTCAGCTAATGCACAGAGCAAAGCCAAGGTCCTCTCCAAAAACTGCCATCTGCCCAGAAGTGGAAGCATCTATTGAGAAATTCAACTGTTTAAACAGTCTTGTAATATAAGAAAATAGAAACCAACCCAAAACAAGACTTCTAAAACAACAGCATGGATAGTAAGTGAACAACTATAAAATTTCTCTGCAAGATGTTAAAATATTATACTTGAGATTTTTTTTCATCAAACACTAAAAATATACCTGAGCTTTTCTCCTTGGTAAGTTGTGCTACAAGAAAAAACAGCAATAAACCACACAAAACTTCAGATCACAGTTCTGAAGAACCTTTTATCTCCCAATCCAACAGCTCAGGGAGCTGAAGCATTTAATTGACATGGAGATCAAAGACTACCTTGACCTGAAAGAATTATGTTTGTAGACCTACCTTACATAATGTTCTCCATTTCAAGCAGAGAAATTTGGAACACATGAAGATTTAAGGACCCACTTTGAAACCAAATCGAGAGTTCCCAATAAGATAAAATTAGCAGTGGACAAACAAATAATTCAACTAAAGACTGATAAATGAAGCCATGGGGTGCAGTTCCTCAGTGTCAGAGAAAACATCTCAACGGATGGGAACATATTTTCCCATTTTACTGCTAATGAACTAGTGCCAAGTATTATTTGTTTGTATTTTGGAAGATTGTAGAACACCAAAAGAAGCCTCAGAGCTACACTGCTACCAACTATCCAACTCACAAATCCCAAAAGCTCCACAAAGGTGCTGAGGAAGTGCTAAATGTGCATGAAAAAACTTGAGGTAGGTGTACACATGAAATAGCAGAAGACTAAGGACCGATTTTTTTTTCCATTTCAAAATACAAATCATGACCACTCAACACCAGGTAGCTAAAAAAAAAAACCAAAAAACAAAAAACAAAAAAAAAAAACAAACCAAACCAAAACAAACAAACAAAAAAACCAAAAAAAACCAACAAAAAAAACCCACACAACAACCAAAAACCACCAAAAAACCTTATAGCTGTGTTCCCTGTTTTATTTTATTTTTCAGCTTTGTTGGGTCATGTTGCTCAATGGTGGATATAAATACAAAAAGAAAAGCCCCAAAGCAACCCTTTTGCTTGGATAGCTTATTTGCCTGGAAAAGTTTTAAAGTACACAAGGAAACCAGCTGTTTGGGCAGGATGAGCAGCATTTCCACTAGAGGACTCTCTGAGTTCTCCAGCTTTTTGTGAGGAAAAAGCAGGAGATCCTGATTAATTCATAGTTTGGAAGCAAAATATCAAAGCATCATTAAGGAAAAACATCCAAACCCAACTTTACAAAGCATTAAACACGTCACAGACTGCCTCTTGTGGAACTCTGGTTGCTCCACCACTAATATATTGTTTTTTTCTCTCATCTGGCCCGTCTGATATTATTCCTCTTTACTATCTCAGCTGTGATTTTCCTGCTTTAGCCAGTTTGAGTGGCCCCTCCCCAGGTTGGATGTTGGATTGACACTCACGGGACATCACTGCTGGGGCTTCCTGTTGAGATTTCCTGGGAAGCAGCTCTGGCAGCTCTGGGGAAGGCAGACAGAACCTGTCCTGGCACATCTGTCCCTTCAGCACCTTTATCCCTTCAGCACATGTCCCCTCCAATTCTGTTCCCTCACATCTGTCCCCTGTCCCCTCAGGACCTCTCCTCTGCCCCCACATCAGTTCTCCACCCATCCCCTCATGCCACTTCCCTCAGCTTGTGTCCCTGGTTCCCTCACACCAGTCCTCACACAGGATACATCAGTCTCCTGTCACACCTGTCCCCTTCACACCAGTCTCCTGTCACACCTGTCCCCTCAATACTGTCCCCTCACACATCCCATGCCCTCACACCTGTCCCCTCAACGCTGTCCCCTCAGCACTGTCCCCTTCACCTGTGCCCTAAACACAGTCCCCTCATACCTGTCTCCTGAGCAATCTCCTCAGCATTATCCCCTCACACTACTCCCCTGTCCACTCACACCAGTCCCCTCTCACCAGTCCCCTCAGCACAGTCCCCTCAACAAAGTCCCCTCACACTAATTCCCTCACACCTGTCCCCTCAGCACAGTCCTCTCACACCAATTCCCTCACACCTGTCCCCTTACACCTGTCCCCTCACACCAATTCCCTCTCACCTGTCCCCTCACACTAATTCCCTCACACCAGTCCCCTCAGCACAGTCCCCTCACACCAATTCCCTCTCACCTGTCCCCTCACACCAATTCCCTCACACCTGTCCCCTCAGCACAGTCCCCTCACACCAATTCCCTCTCACCTGTCCCCTCAGCGCTGCCCCCTCACACCTGTGCCCCCCCCCCCCCGCTCCCCCAGCCGCCTCTCCCTGCCGCGCCGCGCTCCCATTGGCTGCAGGTGTTCCCCGCCGCCCCCCCCGCCCGCTCTGGTTGGCCGGGACGCTCCGGCTCCCCAGGTAACGGTTCCCGCTCTGCTATTGGCGGGGGGGAGGCGGGACTCGGGAGGGGATTGGCTCTCCATTGGCTGCGGCTCCCGCCCTCAGACCGCCATGTTGCCGCGGGCGCGGGGCGCTGAGCCTGGACAGCGGCTGAGGGGCGCCGGGGCCACCTGGGGCGGGACTTGAGGGGGCACCTGAGGGACAGCGCGGCTCCTCCGCCCGGCCGCCGCCGCCACCGCTCCCCGCCGGGGCACCGCCGGCAGCGAGGCAAAGTCCGCTTCGAAACTTCCTTGCGGGACTTTGAGCAACTTGAGGCCGCGGAGGTGTAGCCGGGCACGGCTCAGGGAGCGGCCGCTGCGCGCCGCGGGGCCCCTCTGTGTGGGGTGGGACCGCCGCGGTCGGAGCAGGTAGGAGTCCGGATGGTCCCGGTGGATACCGCTCCGTCCGGGGAACTGCCGGCGCCAGCTTGTCCCGAGCGACGGTGTCGCGTTCCGGCCGCTCCCCGCAGGCCGGGGCTGAGGGGGGACCCGGGGGGGCCGCGTGTTCCCCTGAGCCCTCCGGGAGGGTCGGGCCGAGGGTTCGGGAGTGTCCGCTCCCCCGGTACCTGTGGCCCGGCTTGCCCGGACAGCGGGGTTCGGGAGGTGTCTGGATACACACATTCGTGGGTGATGTGGTAGTTTGGAATAAACAGGATGTTTTGTCAGCCTCCAGTCATGAAGGTATGCTAAATTGCCCCTCGGAGCTCCTCTGCTGCTTCTCTTGGGTAAATTTGTAACTGGTAGTAATTGACTACAATGTTTTATTTACAGAAAAACTATTTTTAGTAGCTTGATTCTTTGGGAGAAAAGAGTAAGATGCTGTGTTGATGAATAAGTAAAAACTTCCGTGGAGTATTTCAGCCAGGAGGGAGCTGTTAGATGATTTTTAAGAAAACATCCTCGAATACTTGGGATATTTCTGTAAAGCTAAATTGTACAGGGTATTTTTAACCAGTCTTATTTAATTTCTGTGCAGGTCAATGATCTTACACATTTTCCTTTTGATTTTTGTGCTGTTCTATGTAAAGCTATTTGTGTTTCTAAAATTTGACTCAACTCATTTGTTTAGCAGTGTGTGTATATTCATCAATATTCTGGTTTTTTTATCTGTGCAGCTGGATTGAGAATCATCTGGAGCAGAAACACATTTCACATGTGAAGCTCTTCAGAATCTGTTATCTGTCTTGAATCAACTTATTTCTGCATACTTGTAATTTTATATAGCTGCTAAATACAGACCATGCCTAGCAGAATGGGCTCAAAAATTGATCTGAACAAAGACTTCATCAGAGTTAAAACACACTACAGTGGGTAAGTCAGTGTGTCCTTTCCTCTGTGTTGTGACCTGTCTATTTTTGAAGTGTATTGAGCAGGAGTTAGTGGTCTGACCTAGTGATAAAATAACCAGGGCTTTGGTGGATTTGTAATTAATGTCAGATCAGGCAGGTAAACTTCTGAGCTATTAAAATACCAGTCAGACTCCTGCAGCATGCTGATCAAGAAGAAAAGTTAATTTATTCTTCTCTCAGAAGGGAAAATGTGCATAACTGACAAACCCACAGTTATTGTGGGTTGATGGATTATTGATTCCCATGGTCACAGCCAGGTTAGATCCATCTCCTGCACCCAGATGCAGTTATTACATTTTATCCTGTCTATAATCAGGATGTCATGGTCCCTTATGACTTCACTCAGTTGACAGTAGAAACAGGAAGGTTTTATTGCAGCAACATGAAATTTGAGTTTTCAGGTATGTTTAATCTCATTGGCTTGCTGCCACTCTGAGGACCTTGTGAAATAGTGTTGCTTTAGTTTCTCCTGTCTTCCTTCAAGGCCTGAGTTTAAGGCATTTGAGGAATTAAATATTTGGCCCAAGTAGATCCTTAAAGTTGATTGGAAGAATTTAGACTGAGCTTGTTGGTATTTAATAAGTGACTTGAGTGATCTTTTCTGATGTTTTACTGCTAAATAAGTAAATGTAGCTACCAGTGTGCATGTGCTTACATTATGGTGTAGAAAAATGCTGTTTTAAATTAAATGTGATGTAGTTATGAAAGTCATGTCACAAATTTTATTTAAAACAAAATGCTTTCGTTTTAAACTTACCTACTTATCAATGCCATGTGGTTTGAGGTCCTGAGTTTAGAGTTCTAGAGCAGTTGAATTACTGTGGTAATGCAAGGGGAGAGCTGCCTCAGCTCTGTGGAGGAAGGCACTACAAGCACCAGTAGAACTGGGTGTAAGTAATTGGGGTGGCTTGCTGGCAGGTAGTGTTGATATAAAGTGAAAGGAGTGTGTGGAACTTGTCTGTGCACAGCTGGGAGAGTGATAATAATTGTGTCAATGTTAGAAGTCAAGTAATTATTATTACCATGTTTTACAATAAACTGCTGTAGTTTTTCCTGCAGCACTACATTCAGTCTTTTGCATGAGCTGTGAAGTCTGTAGAAATCAGTTTATGAACAGGAGTTCCAAGCTCTATGAGTTTTGTTTTGTTCTGCTGATCAAATTGTGTGAGGTAAAACTGACTCTTTTTGGCATTGTAGCTTCTATAACTGATCATCTCAGTATCTCCACTCAGCTTTTGAGCAAGTTTGACAGACTTCAGGAAATCATTGATGCTGGGCAACTTCAGAATTAGGGACTAACTGCTGAAATTAAAATAATAGTACAGATGCCATGTTGAAATGCCTGTTAGAAATCTGATCATGAGGAAGTTTAAAACATGTGAGTGTTGAGTGTATCTCTGGAGGCTGAGTATCTCAGGTATTCCTGTTTCTGGGTGTGACAGAGTTCCTAACATAGCACACTAGAAATCACTGCCAGGGTAGATTACAAAAGAAAAACTAAGTAACTGCAATAATGAACCAAGAATTACACAACTTGTCTCTCTAGTTTATACCTGGTTACTTGAAATCACTGGCACAGAGCAGTGGTGCAGTCTGCTTTGCTGTGTGCTACCTTGGCTCTGAGAGATGACATGTTTGATCTGTCACTGGAATTATTTCTCTTGCTGCAACTGCTCGTACAGAACTTACTGATCATTAGCTTTTCTTATTACTGGGTAGTGTCCAGTTTCAAATATATTTTTTAAAAGTGTCCCATGGGATTGTTTAGTGGCAAACAAGGAACGGTTTTTACTTCCCTGTGCCCTGACTACCTGATGTGGCTGTAGAGATGTTAAGATTAAATACAGTCAATCTCAAAGGCATGTGGACATCATGGATATGAAATTCATTAGTGTACTTATAGAATTACATCTGTTATAATAATTTTAATAATTCAAGGCTGATTAGTAGTTGCCAGTTTCATTTGGAGTTTACAGTGTGTGTAGTAGTGTTGTCTTACAGTGTATTTTCAGTTTTAGAATATTATTTAGATACTTGTGCAAGTGTGATTGTCCAAGGTTACCACAGCTCTACAGCTGCCTGATTCCACGAGTGGCTCGTGGTGGCAGTGCATTAAATAATGAGCTGCATTTGTTGGTGCCCTTGTCTTGGGGCAAGGCATTGCACCAGCCCTCAAACATGGCTGTGAGAACCAGTTTGGTCTCTTACTTTCATAAATGCATAAAACATGACTTCTTTGACAGGGAAATGTTCTTAAACTCAACCTCACCTGACAGCTCTCAGTGTAGTGGATGATATGGATGTACAGGTTGGCAGGCAGCATATGTATTTCTTTTGCTGTTGCTGTTATGAAGAATTATTAAGTTGCTGTTCTTTGAGAGTGCTACAAAGTATAGATTAAAGATACACTTGAAAAGGTAGCAGGGCTTTAATCTGAATTTGAAACAGTCCAGTTCTTTAAGGTGATTGTTTTAGAGCTTTGCTTATAGTAATTTTTCTCAGCAAAGGCAAAATGGCAAGTTATTAATGCATATCATTTAAACTGTAAGTTGTGGCATTTAAGTTTCTTATTTCAGTGTAGTACTGTTCAGCTGCTGACTGAAAGACATAAGTAGGCAGAATATATTGTATAACATTTTTTCTAAAATGACTTGTCACATAGTATGGAAATAGGAAAATCATCTCAGTCATGTTGGACAGCTTCTGATATATTTGCTGTATTGCACTAAGAGGGGAAAGAATTACACGTGCCAGTAGCCATTAGCTATCAAACAGTTTCCTAATTGTCCTCTGGAAGGTTTTGACAGCAGTGGAATTCTTTAAATTCATCTCCTGTTTCTTTTTGCACTTGTTTATTAATTGATTTCCCAGAGTCAGTTATTTGGAAAATATTTTAAAAGTAGTAGAAAGTCTTGTTTGTTGAATCAGATTTTGTTTTGTGTAATCTTTTTTCATTTTTCAGTATTTGACCTGCTTTGACAGGACTTGTGGACTTCCATTATATCAAAAGTTATTGTCACAAATTCCTGAGATAATGTATAGTTTACATAGAGAGTTCAGTATTGGGTTCATGTTCTCTAAACACTACAAAGGTAGAGTGCAAGATGCAGAATTTGAGTAAGATTTTACCTGAATTTTCCTGTAATTACATGTTTTGAAAATTCACCTAATCAAAGCTTCATCTCAAACAATATAGGGGATGTGAGATAAAGCCTCTGTTTTAAAGGATTTTACAATAATTGAGGGTTTTTTTATCTCCTGATGGAAGAAGCACTTGGATTTAAAAAAAAAAAATTATTATGAAAGCTTCTGGTTTGTTTTTTAACAACACTTCAAGCACTGATAATTATAATAAGGGAGCTTGGCTCACCCGAGTAAACATGCATTAAAGACAGGTAATTAACACATTTATTTCCTTCATACTGAAGTATTTTTAAGTTAAGCACTGTGAGGTGTAATCCTGCTGGCACAGTGGGAATGTTTTATATGAGGAATGCTCATGCTGTATGATTCTGCAGCTTGCTGTCCATAGGTGGAACTGTTGGAATATGCAGATATTTTCTGATAAAAGCTGATGTTTTCATCTTCTGCAGGGACATCCTGATAACAAACTTGGATGCATCAATGAGCTATGCTGAACTCTGTGATGAAGTGCATGAGATGTGTAACTTGGAACAGGAGCAGCCAATTACCCTCAAGTGGATTGATGATGAAGGTATTGGACTGAAATACTTCTCAGGGTTTGTTGTTCACTGTGGTACAGAGAAGGGGCATTGAGGAACTTGGATAAACAAATACACTGTGGAGTTTTTTTGTTTCTAAATACCTAACTACAGAACCCTGTCACAGAGCAAGGAGCTTGGAGAAATGAGAATTAAGACCTCAGGGTTGATTGTAGTAGCACCTGAATTCACTTCTACTGAAGCACCTTGCCAATGTCAGGGCCTGCAGAACTAGAACTGAATACAGAAAGGTGGAAAAATACCAGACTGGTTTAGCTAATAGTTTTAATGGTGTGTTTTGGTTTTTTAAATAGCTCTCTTAGCTGATAGAGTTGTTTGAGTAAATGGAATTTCAAAGTACTGACCTTGGAAGGAGGTAGCTGGTAGTCAAAGACTACTCAGCCCTTTTTAAGACACCAAGGACAAGTATTAATACTTCCAAATTTTACTCTATGTTTTAAATATAAGAAGGACAGAGACAACTGTACCAACCTCAGTTTAATGATAGTGTAATAAGAAGTAACCTGATCAGAAGGACATGGAAGATAATTACATTGCCTGTGCTTAGCTGGTTGAACTGCTAATAAAGGAAGATTATTGCAGGGAAGAAGAAAACCCCCTGAGTTTTGAGTTGGAGGATTCTAAGACATGAGTTCTGTTAAGTGTTTCTTGGTTGGGCTCTCTGTTGCATTGGCTTTTTGAAGCTTACTTAAATTAAAAAGAATTTATTTAGTCTCTGTTCTAGTAAGTATTTTCCTCTAGTCTTGGTTAAATACCTGTACAACCTTTTTCTGATTCCTGGGTCTGAGTGGTTGAGTTTCAGCCAATCTGCTGTGTTGGCTGTTACTGATCCTCCTGGGTTTTGTGAGTTATCCTATTTCTGCATGTGAGTGTTTCCACTTATTGCCACATGGAATTTAAGTTCATTTGACTGATTGCACAAACAGATGTTCTCTTTGAACTAACTAAAAGCAAACAATTGCCGATGGCTTAATGAATAAACAAAACCTACCAAGAGATGAAGAAAATAGATTTTCTGTTGGGCTTTTATAGTGTTTCTTTGTTTTTGACAAGATCCAAAAGGTTTGAACTATGAATAGCTCACTCATGAGAAAATCCTGTAAACATATAAGGAATATGGATTGTTGATTTGCAGTACAAATAATTCTTTTGTCTTTCATGTTGCATTATTACTGCATTTACAGATCATCAACAGCAGTAGCCTTCAAAGAGAGGTAGCTGGGCCCTGGATTCATAATTTTACAAAATAAGAACATTTTTTAAAAATAAGAAATTAAAGTTTAAATGTGGCTTGACACTGGTGTCATCACTTGGCCTGGATATCATCAGGTCACCTGTCACCCAAGGTGTGCTGCAGGAAGGTGGCTGTTCCACAAAGGGACAGGGGTTCAGAGTGACACCCTTGCTTCTTTGCTTGCTCTCAGTGCATTGTGACGTACTGTACTTCACGTGTGACTGGTTAAGTGGATTTATGGATTAATTATCCAGTTTTAACAAAAATAACTCTCCCAAGGTAATGCTGCTAATGTGACCACAAGCAGACATCAAGAAAATGGGGGGGATCTTTAGGCATATTGACTGTTGACTTTTATTTTCTTGTTATCCTATAGGATAGTTCTGTCTACTCAATTTTGTTGAAATTGGAAGGAATAATTGTGTTGTTCCATTTTGGCTTTGATCAAAATGCCAACTTAATATCAAGTGATTGAAAGAAAGGCAATACCTGAAGCTGGTACATTTTTTACTAATTGAAATTCTTCAGTGGTAAATTTGCCTGTCTGTTGCTTTTTTTGTTAGGTGACCCCTGTACCATCTCATCTCAGATGGAGCTGGAGGAAGCATTCCGTTTGTATTGCCAGAACAGAGATGAAGGACTGATCATTCATGGCAAGTATTGCACAGTTCAGGAACCCCTGTGTGCCTGATAATCCCAGCAGCTGCTTAAGTGGGAGCTTGGAGTGACTCCTTGCCTGTCCAATATCCTTTGTGTAGCTGCTGCCCTGGAGTTTGATGCTGAGGAAGGAACTGGAGCTCAAAGCTGAAACTGTGCAGGAGGCTTTGAGTTCAGCACTGCACAGATTTGTTCATGCCTTACTCCAGTATAAGCTCCTGAAAGCCTAGAACCAAATTTTGATTGCATAATTTCTCATGTAGAATTATTTAAAAGCTTCCAAAAACTGTTTGTGTGTAAGTACATTCAAGAATCAAGGAAAAAGTACTACTGAGAATCTTTTACCTTAAAAATCTAATGTTTTTGTTTTAGTTTTCCCAAGTACTCCAGAGAAACCCGGCATGCCTTGTCCAGGAGAAGATCGTGAGTACTAAAATGTTCTCCAATTCTAGCTAAATTTTTTTTTTGGTCACATGGAAAAGAAATATATTAAAGGATTTTCATGATCTAGTGCTACATACGTGTGTTTCTATTTTGTTTTCTTTAAAAAATGCAAAATGTTTTACATTTTGTCAACAGACACATTGCATAAATCAGTGTTGTAGCAGTGTTTTACTGTTTGTGAGTATTAATGCTGGTTTTTGTTGTTGATACTTTTGAAGGAAGAGACAACAGGATTTTAGATGTCTATTTGAATGTAGACCTTGGCTTTTTTTGTGGTTCTTTTGGTTTTTTAACTTTCAGGGAAAAGAAATGATGTGCTCAAGAGGGAGATAGAGCCATTTTTATAAAAAGGTTATTAATCTCTTTAAAAATAATCCTGTGAGAGGTAGATAAACCTCCAGAGGAAGGACACATAATTGATATGGTTTACCTGTATTTATAATAACCTGAACTGCACAGGGATAAAAGGATTAAATAGCTGTATAGTCAGCTCTCATTACAGAGGGGTGGCATCAGGACTTTAGTTCATATCTTGGTAAATGTTATGGAAAGGAATGGGAATAATTGGGTGCCAAAGGTACCAGATGATGCTTGGCTGCTCACAGGAGTATAAAGAAGAGCTAACTGAGGAATTTGAAGGACCTTTGCTCTTCTCTTTGAGAAATATGAGAGGAGATAAAACTAATTGCTGATAAGAGCAAGTAATACATACTAGGAGAAAAGTACTTGGTTGATCAGGATTTACACTGCCAGACTGGCTAAAGATGAGTAGTGCAGTGGTAATAGTTGTGAATGCTATTTTTAATCAGAGGAATTATGCTAACAAGTTATCTATTGAGAACTTCTATGAGGGTGGAGAGAGGTGAAATAAATACCAAAAAGTTAGAGTTCAAATATGATTTTCTACATTTTACTACATCTAACTACAGTAGATGAAAGGTTAACTGTAAACACCAGGTAAGTTTTCATGTTGACTAGGTTATCAAAATTGTCTTTTAGAAAGGAAAAAAATAAAGTAATTGTACAACATTAATTCCTCTAATTTTCTGAACAAGGACAGCAGATAAAGGCTCTTCTACTATGATTAGAAGAGTTAAAGAAATTATCCCTGAGACACCTAATTTAATGAACTCATTAAAGGTGTAGATATTCTAATAGGAAAGTTTTTTGTGTTAATTTGTTCGAAGTTTTAGTTCTCTCAAGCCACGAGATGAGCTGCAGAAAGCACAGCTGAGTGTGGCTCAGCTGACCTGGTTATTGTGTCTGTAGGGTATTTCTCCCTCTTTGGTTTTACAGGTCACGTTGAATCACACTCAGATTGTTTAAAAATCCTGTTTAGTTAGATGTGCTTGATAAGGGATCTCTGGTCAGGTTTCTCATGGTTTCATGAATTAATTTCATGCACATTACCTCTTTGCATCTGTGGGGCCTGCATGGAAATTGGGCCTTGTGGCCAAGGTATAACTAATTTTTGCAACAGACCTATTAAGATGTATTTAAATTGTAATTTAGCATAGACTAATACATTGAGTGTTGTTGCTTGTTAGCCACAGGCCCACAGCAAACATCTGCATTGCACTTGGGACTGTAAGGAAATGTTACTGGTGTTGGTGATACAATTTATTTAAGGGACTATTGATTTTGTCAGGACTGAAATACTTGCTTTGCTTTAGAAAATATTAATCCTGTTTCAATTTCTTACGTTGTTACAGTCTTTATCACTGTAGTTATGTTCATAGGAAAGCCCTTTAAAAGTGAGAATATTATGTAATATATGGATATGTTTTCTGGAGTATCATGTTTGCACTATAAAGGAGCTTATGAGTTTGCCTCAGGTTTTTTCCAGAGACAAATAAACAGTGAAGTAGTTGGTCTATCCAAAATGAGCTTCTACTTAAATTAGCAGTTCTAAGTGTGGATTGCTGGTTTGTTACAGAACTACAGACAGTTTGAAATGGAGTTTTTAAATAAAACTATTCAATTGTGAAATAATTGCATTTGCAATCTGTTGCTCAGATGTCTCCATGTTAGGTCATGGAGTGGCTCTTTCCAATAGTTTGTGGTCTTCTGAAGTGCAAATCTCTATTTCTGTAGGATTGTAGGGCTTTTCTTTCCAGCTCCTTCAGAACAATAATACTTCGGAAGAAGAGTGCAGGAATACAGACTGGAGGGTTTGCATTTATTATGTTTAATGATAGAGTTGCTACCTATCCTCACCTTTGTTAAACTGATACAGTTTTGAGATTGTACCAGCCAGCAAAGCTTGAAATAAAAGCCTGTAATCCATTAATGAAATAAACCACATGCCTTATATTTCAATTCCATTTGCATGACTTAAGGGAAGTTATTTCTGTGCTTGAAGAACCTTTGTTCTTATATTGATGTGGTGCTGTCTGTGAGACAGAATTTGCACAGTCTCCAGCATCTGCATTTGTATTGTCTCTGTATTCCTTTGCTCCTGAATTTCTGTGCTTGTTGTTGGAGCCAGCCCCAGCTCCCAGTGTAAGTGCCCAGCTGTGGTTACAAGCAGCCCCTGTCCCTGAGCTGGCTGTGCTGGCAGTGCTGCTGTGAGGTGACAGCGTTGCTGAAACGTCTCCCATCCCTTCCCAGACACTGAATGTGACCCCTCCCGGGCGTTCCCAGCATCTGCTGGACTGGAGCCTTGGGTGCTCGATCTGTGTTTCCTGATAAAGATGGCAGACTTTTAGACCAGTCTTGCATTTCACTTTTACTTTTTCAGTAGATGAGCAGTTCTTTCAGAATGGAATAAACAAGGTTGTTTCAGAGGCATTTGGTGTGTTCTCTCCTGTGCCTCAAGGTGCCAGCGCTCCTGACAGCGTGTGTGGATCCCAGCAGCTGATTGGCAGCTTTATAACTTAGTTATTGGAGTCTGAGCTTATTTACCCTGACAGATCTTGATCTGATTTATCACTCTTGGTGCTGCAGTGCATTGTGTAACACAGCACGTCCAGCTGAACAATTCCCATCGATTTGTAGGACTTCCCTAACGGAATTGCCGGCTTTATCAGAGAAATACTTGTTTTGGTGACTTCAGCTCCTTGACATCCATGCCATGTTTTAGTTGTGCCTCAGCTGCTAGCTACAGCCTCTCAAGGGAGCCAGTACCACCCGTGCCTGGATACATGAGGCAGAGATGTGAAAGGGAGAGACGGGGGTAACCAGTCTTCCATTAAATATTTGCTCTTAATGTTCGAGCTGATCCTGCCTATTGTCCTTGGTGTCTAATGGTATTCACACAGCGGCATCCGTGGAATAAAGGGAAAATGTTTCATTTCATACCTACTACATTGTAAAGAATTCCATGCTGAAGAGGCTAAAGAATAAAACCCAGTGAGTAATGCATGCTTTTTCTGTAGATTTTGTGTCATCATTGTGGTTGCTGTTGTGAGCGGCGGGCACTGACGCGGGCTGTGTGTACGTGTGCTGCAGGAGAGAAGAGAACTCAGCATTTTGGTTATGGTACAGTCGCTGTGCCTGCCACCCTCCTTTGCAGCCATGGATTGTTACAAATGCAGAGATTCCTGCTGCCTCTGTGCGTAGGGATGTGGCTGAGAGACCTCCTGGAAATACTGATAAAATTGCATTGAAAGGACTCCTGGGGAATGTATTTTAGGAGGAGAGGAACGGAAGAGTGAGTGATGCTGCTGCTGCTAATATTGGAGATTAATGAAGGAAATGTATCCCAAAAACCCTGACGGTATGTGCTCGGGGCCTGTTTATTGTAGGATTGCTGATGTAAAGGCTAACCATTTAGGGGCATCATTTTCTGAGGCCTTTTTGTTGAATTCTGCTTAGTGGCTTGTCATAGATGGCTGTTTTTAATTGTGAAATACTTGTTTTGAATTAAGGGTCACTTAGTTTCTAATATTGTCGGAATGAACTGTGCTAGTTCACTTCTGCTTTACAAATAGATCTGTCTATTTAATATTAAAATTCATCTTGGGTTTGGATAGCTAGTGCCAGCAAATTTTAGGGTTGTTTTGCTCTTTGCTTCGTTCAATAGGAGAATGCAGACTAGGAAACCTTTAAATTAATTAACAGAAGAGAATGAATATGTTTTAAATGTTTTAGCACGTACTACGTTAGTGTGATAGTTTTTATTATCTAATATTTCTGGCTCATTTTGCTGCCTTATTTTTCTGGTAATGATTACAGTGTGTTGTGCATGTCTCCTGTGCTCTTTGTTTATCTGCTCAGTATTTTAGCATTAGGTGTTTGGACTTCATTTTCCCCCCAAGCCATCTTTCTTGAAAATTTCATCACAGGCTTGAGTAAAGGTATTGTAGTAACCTAATTGTTGTTGTGGGCTCTTTATTTTAGGTATAGATATTTGATTTTGCTTTACGTCCTGCCTGGTACTGTGAAATAGCTTTAGAAGGCTTCTTGCTGGAGTAGTGTGGCCTGTAAATATTTTTCTAGCTCATAAGGCAGGTTTTTCCCTTCATTTGTTACTGTATTGGCAGCAGTGATTAGGTTATTCAGAGCACGTGAACCAATTTAATCCCCCAATGAAGAAAAGAACTATTGCCACCATAGAGACTGTTCTGAAGACATAGATTGGATTGCACTGGATAATTAGGCAATTTTGAAACTGCTAGTAACCCTCTCCTGGATTTTAGTAATTGAACTGGGGGGGAGGGAGGGACTGTACTATTTTAATTTAAGATATTTTTGCTTAGGATTTAAAAATAGCTGTGTCATAGTTTCTCAGGAATACCTGAAATCTCTTCCTCTGTCTTAACTGCACCACATTTGTATCAGATGTGACATATTTGAAAAAGAGACAGATTGTGAGGCAGCATAAGTTACTGAGAACAGAATTGTAGTTAAAGGTCTGGTTTGCTTATAATAATTTCATGATTAATAATTCTAAATAATCTTAACAGTTTTCTTAGCTATGAAATGTCCATTGAAGAATAAAGGGCTGGACCTTGCTTTTATAATTCAGGCATAAAATT